CTGAAGAAGAAAGCTGTTATTCCAAATTTTTGAGATAAAGAAAGCTTTTGCACTAAGCAGAGTGGATGGCTGTCTTTCTGGGTCATGGGTGGGCCTGCTCTCCCTCTCTTCTCTCTCCTTTCCTTCTACCTCTTCTCTCCCCTCTTTAGTGCTACTGGTTTTGCTGGGGGTTTCATGGTCATGCAGTAGCAAGTCTAGGCTGGTAGGTGAAGAAGTATTTGAAAAGGTTGTTTTCTTTTATGCATTATCTTTGGGAAGTAAAATCTTGGAATTCAGCTTAGCGTCTTGAGAGAATCAGTTTCTTTTTTTAAAGAAACAAAATTTAATTCTGAGATCACAAGTGATATAAATATCCAGAAGCCTCATGGCTGTGCTCATTGGAGTCTCTTTGAGTCAGATCCATTATCTCGATGCGCAAAATCACTCAGGGATCATTTTTTACCCTTTGGGAAGTAGAATTTCAGATGTCTGCAAATCAGTCACTGAACAACACGAGTTAGAGTGTAGAAAACCTCCTGCTGTCCTTAATGTTTGGAATTTTTTTTTTTTTAATGTAAGGGAGATTTTTTCCTCTCATTAGAAAAGGCTGGTTTTATAATGCACACTCTCTAGAGAAGGAGCCAGACAAAACCTTGTGAAACAAAAAGGGGGCTGCTTCCTTGGAAATTCATAATCCTGCCTGGCCTGAAGAACTTGTCCGACATAGGGGAGGCCCTTTGCTTGACACTGTGATGGTTTAGTGAGCGGGGCCATGGATTTCAGAGGAGTAAAGGGACTCCCATCCCTTGAGAGGTCCAGGAACAGGGCTGCTTCCTTGTGGCAACACATCGTGATGCTTCATCTAACATTTCAGTGGATGCCTGATGGGGACAGACAGAGAGACCAATCCAAAATGATGGTACCTCCACCCACCTCGCTAAATCACTGCTTTACCTGTTTAAGGAAGAAGTATGATGGATTGACAGGCCTGGGAATCTTTATTCCCACCTCCTGGGAGCAACAAGGATGCCATTGTTATGACCATTTGCTCTTTGAAGCTCATGGATAGAAAGCATTTAATGAATCCTGGCATTTAGGAAATCTTTTGGAGTAAAATCATAGTAATAGAAGGAAGATTTAAAAGAAAAAGACAGGATTTGCCCTTTTCTGTTAAATCTACCATTGGCGTTTGAAGGTGCTCAGAGAATTCTGTTTGTGGGAATTTGGGAAAGACAAATATTGGTGAGTGCACTAGAGAATTAAGACAAATGATAATTGAAAGAGATGACAAAAGCTAGTGGTTTCTATGGGGAAATAATCACAAACTGCTGTCAGACCGACTCCAATAAGAGCATTGCTTTATGTGAAATGTTTTTTAAACAGCTCAATCAAAGCATTAAGCCAGAGCACTTCTCAGGGTGTCTGTCTGCTGTGTGTTGCATTACATTTCCATCTGAGACTCCTCAACTTGTATTATTTACTGTCCCTGCTGCTATGGTTCGCTTCTTCGTGGTTCGACACTCAGTTAAAAATGAGAAACATCAGAGTGCAAGGAAGATCCTAGTTGTGGATTTGTAAGGTAGATCTACAGTTTCACCATATTGATTCATCATCCGGACTCACAGCTCCTGATCAGTGAAGTTGTTTTTGTGTGTTACCCCAGGTTAAATGCTGGTACTCTGTCTAAAGCATTTCATTTGTGATGCTAGATGTACTTTTGGACTTCTAGAAGCAGGGACTATTTCCTGTGATCTGCATTTTTTCCAGAATTTTTTATAGAATAATACTCAAAGCTCTGTCTCTTTCTACCTCCACTGTACCTGATAAAGATTTCAGTCAGGCCCCTACAGTTCATTATGTTTATTGGTTGACACAGTTGTGTCATACCAAGTTGCAACACAAGCTTGGCAGAAGACACAGATGCCCACTGACGAATCACTCCATGGTCTCGCCGCACTACCTCCTTGTAGAGAATGTACCTGGAGACTTCCTGTTGCCTCCCTGGGTCTTGTTTATTTCTCCCCTGTTCCACCTGTTGTGACGCTGGGAGGCTGACTGTGTGACCAACCACAGCCTCCCTCTTTTCTGCCTTCCCTTTGAGTTTGGCCAACAGGGAGCAGGAGATTGAATAGGAAGACAGGTAGGCTGGAGTCTGTGTTTCTCCATATCACTTCCTGGGTGCCTAAGGACTCTCTACTATTACCAGCCACAGGTATTGCATTATCCCCTGTGGGTTCCCTCAAACCCTGCCCCTGCCTTTGTAAAACTCTCTCCATTAGCCAGTGTAAAGGTCCCCCCATTATCCTGCTGAGCCTCTGACTGCTATTTGCCAAGTCACCCAGATAACAAAGTTGGTTTTAACCCAGATATCACAGCCTGTGTCTCTCATGCTCTTCTAAGAAAGCTCTCTCTTTTAGGCCAGCAGGCCCCCACACTGGGATCAGATGGAACAGAGGTCAGCAAACTACAGCTTGTGGGCCAAATCCAGTCTGTGGCCTGTTTTTGTAAATGGAGCTTTATTGGAGCACAGCCGCAACCATTTATTTACTTACTGTCTGTGGCTGTTTTGAGCTACAACAGGAGGTGAGGGGATGCAACAGAATCCATATGGCTTGCAAAGTCTAAAATATTTGCTATTTGACCCATGACAAAACCTAGAGGAAAACCATGCATGTGAACTTCACCATTTTCATCAAGAGGCTCCTGGGCCAGATGCCGGGGATACTTGTGAACAGTCCTGTGACAACAGGAGGTCTCAGACCCCAGGCCTGGCAGGCTCTTATGGACCTTGTGTCACCATGGAAAACTAGGAAGACACCGTGTCCCTCTGACATGGAAAAAAATATAACCGAGCAAAGTAAAAGGCATTTGTTAGTTTAAATGTGTCTATAGTTTGTGATTGTAGAAATAACTAGTGTCCTGGAAAGAATGACCTCCCAAATGTTGTCACATTTCTTTACCAAAGTTATTTTGTACGCATCTGCCTTCCTTATCCCCCGGTTTGACCGTGATGTCTCTTGGGAGAGTCCCAGTTTTATTCAGCGCTGTGCTCCCCAGTGTGGAGGCACAGAGTGGCTGATGCTCAAGAAATATTGTTTGACAAAATGGTAATCCACAGCTAACTCAGATGGGCAAAGAAATATGGGAGTGGAGGCCTTCCCTTGGAAGAACTATTAGCTACTGTCCCGTCTTTCGCTTGAGTCTGCCTGCTCAACCTTCACAGGGCAAGAACGGTGACAAGACAGACTGTCCTTGCAGCAAGATACTCCCCAGGGCAGACTGGCTGCAGAATTTGCAGGCCCCCTTGTAAAATGAAAATACAGGGGCTCCTGTTCAAAATTACTGAGAATGGCACGGCTTTGTCAGCAGGATGATAAACCAAGCATGACCCTGCAAAGCCTGCACTGGCGGCGCACCTGGGAAGCCAGCCCTGCCCACAGACCCTTAGAAAGGCAGCCTAGAGGAGGTCAGCGATGTGCTTCCAGCCCAGAGGGACTGTGTGGTGCCAGACTGCATAGGCCACTGGGATGCAGGGACAGAGGGCTCTGGGACTCTGCAAAGACAAGTGTCCAGTGCTGCCTAAATTGGGACTATGCTTTGTCACATCCACAGGGTTTGCATTCACCTCAGACCCTCACAGGGCAGATCCCTCCTCCCTTTGTCCATGTTTTCAGTTTAGCCCCAAGTCACCCAAGCCGCCCCTCTAAGCACAGTCAGCCTAGTTTGTACTACTGTGTCTCATGGGAAGTCTGCTTAGGGTTTTTTTTGGGAGGGTGACAGTACTGGCCACCTTACCTGCCTGGAAAACAGTGTTGCCTAAATTGGGACTATGCTTTGTCACATCCACAGGGTTTGCACTCACCTCAGACCCTCACAGGGCAGATCCCTCCTCCCTTTGTCCATGTTTTCAGTTTAGCCCCAAGTCACCCAAGCCGCCCCTCTAAGCACAGTCAGCATAGTTTGTACTACTGTGTCTCATAGGAAGTCTGCTTAGGGTTTTTTTTGGGAGGGTGACAGTACTGGCCACCTTACCTGCCTGGAAAACAGTGTATATGCACAAATCTTCCTCTTGTCCCCAGACCTCTCCTTTGCTTCCATCATTTTAAATGGGCACCTGAGAGCCATCCTGACCATTCTGAGGAACCCGGGGCTTCCCTAACACTAGATATTTGCCCTGCCAACTTCTGCTCCCTCAGCCCTTCCCGCACCTCGTAGGCAGAGCTGTCCCTTCCCCTTGGAAACACAGCAAGCCTCTTGGAGGTCTCAGGCGGTGACAACTATAGTAAGGAGCTCTAGCAAGGACTTCCTGAGTAGTGCTTCCCTTGGAAATTGGACGGGCTCCCATTTTGCTTCTCCAGCCCTTCATCTGCAGACCCTTGCTGCAAAAGGGGGCTCAGGGGCTCATCCCTAACCAGTTGGTCTCTGGGAACACCTCATGCCCTCTACTGAAAGATGGGGCTTTCCTCACAGTACTAGAAGGCCATCCTTACCAGGGGAGGTGGTGACAGCTTCAGGGTCCTTGTCCTTACATGCACAGCTCAGCAGCTAGGTGGTGTGGCCCTATGACACATTTGTGTGTTCTTTTCCCCCGAAAGATGAGACTTCAGCACTATGGTCCTCAGGTAGGAAAATACTCCTGAAGCTCAAAGCCTAGAAAATGATAGAAGAGAAGAGACTGTCCCTTCCAAATGGAGAGCAGCATCATGTACCATAAAGCCACAGCTTAGGGGCAGCCTGATGGGTGGAATGGAGTTTGCCTTTGATGGAAATACCAAGTTAGACAGTCCCCAGGGCCATTACTATCTCCTGCTTCACTTGTGTGCTGGCTTTCTCAGGCCTCATTTGTCTCCCTGTGACCTGTGTAGCTTTAAGGACAGTAGCTCCAAGAGCACTCCTGGCTGCCTCTCTGCACATGTGCTCATTTTGGTGACAGCAAAGGCAACCTTGGCCTTGTGTGATCCCTCCCCACCTCACCCAGCTTCTCATTCCTGACACACTGTCTGTGTTTGCTCCTCTTGCAGGGTCCCCGGTGGCAAATACGGCTCCAGCCATGGGCAGGCCCTACTCAGTCTTTGGATGAAGAAGCCTGGAGATTCCTGAGCTATATCAGCACCACCCAGGTTGTGCTTCAGGCTTAAATGGGGTTGGAAACAGTGTGAAAGGCACTGATTGCCACTCGGAAAAAAGGGTTTGCTTGTGAGAGGTGGGGAGTTTCTGACAGGGTCAGGATGGAGACCTGGCTTCTGAGGCATTGCTGCTTAAATTTTTCCACTCCCCTAGAGGTAGAAAAAGTGCTCCCCTTTGCTAAGGCATTTTCTCCCTTCCAGGAGTCTCATCAACGCGAAATGTTCTAATGATTCATGCTGAAGTGTTTTAAAGATCCACTTTAGAAAATTGCTTTGGAGAACCGTGTGAAGCACCAGATTCAGCCCTGTGAGTAGGTGTCACAAAACAGCCGTCATCTGGAAGCCTGAGCTCTGTTCTGCATTTGGAGGCATTTGCCTTCTCGCTTTTCTGCTGCAGACTCTTGGCAGCCTGGGACACGTTGGGCAAGAGAGCAGAGGAGACTCTGAGGCAGAACGATGAGAAGTTAATGAATCCAAAGGCTCCCTCTCCTCAGAGCACTTTAAATCATTACTGAGCCGAGGCGGCCTTGATTAGTGACTTAACACACAGTGGCAGCTCCGGCCCAACTCACCGAGGAGTCAGTGCCCCGAGCAGCCTGCGAACCCATCCATTAAGGGGAGTCTGCGGCTCCTGACACGCTAATCATGAGGTCCCACAGTCAGATTGCCTGATCCTGGGGAAAAGGCAGATGGAGGAGGAGGACTAGGCCTGGGGGCCGCTTAGCCCTGACCTGCGAGGTGGCAGAAAATTAAGAACTCAGACTACTTGGGTGCTGAGCATAGCCTCACTAAAGATCCTACTTGTTGACCTGGCCTGACCTAAGGGGCTCTGGATTTTAAGTGTCCTTCAGCCTACTGGCCCTCAGCACCCTTCTTCTTCTGCCTTTTGCTGGCAACGAAGCCCATTTTCATCGTGGGAGAGGCTATTTTTGGGCCTCTGAGAAGCTAGTTTAGGGGTAAAAGGAAGTTCCACTTCTCATATGATGCAGTCGGACAATCATGGGGATTTTATACTCATCATCCAAACATGGAATTTAAAGCTTGTGGAATTAATTGTGGGTGATGGGATGATAAATTGGTCCCTGTGCTTTCCATCTTATTTTTGCTGCTGCAAGTTAATTTGGTGGATTTATACAGACTTAATTAAACTACTGAAATTTTAATTTTATCATTTGGCTTTTCATGAAGGATGGGGAGCTATGACTTTTAAAAACTCTTAGTGACCCCAGAGAAAAATGAGAGGTGTCAAATTTGTAAACTGAATTGGAGAACTGTGAGCCCCACCTTCCAAAATTAGGTTGCTGAGTACAAGATTTCAAGTTCTATTTTATACATATTTTAGGTTAAGGTTATATAACTTTATGAGGCACATTTACTTAGAAGGTGATCTTGAGTCATGCCCTGGTCATTTGAGATTCCTCTTGAACCTTTCCCGTCCTGTGAGCCTCGGGCTGAGAGGAGAAAAATTCTTTTAAAAACAGAAGCATCCTCTGATGTGATGTAGTCTGATGTTGTAACCCCGGGCAATTTACTTGGTTTCTTTGGCTTTCACTATTCCGATCTTGAAAAGGAAAGAACTGGATCAGATTATTTCTAATGTCTCTCGCAGTTCTGAGACCTTGCCTTGCGTGGACAGTGTGATTGATAGAGTTATTAATAACGATGTATTTTTGAGCACCTGCAACATACCAGGAACATGCCTGTGCTAGACCTTGGGGATTCAGCCTCTGCCCTCAAGAAGCTAGCAAATGAATTGTGACGACAGATAAATGACGCATAATTATTATTCAGCTTGGTGAGTGCAGTAATAGAGATTTGGTTGTTGAAGCCCTAGGGTAGAAAGATTCCCTTTACTCCCCTTAATTCCTGTGTGGGCCCTTTGGCTGGATTTAGGGTCCTGATTAATACAAGGGCTGATAAATAAGAGAAAAGTGTAAAAGTTTTATTAAATGTACATGTACATGGGATCTTCAACAAGAGAAAGAGAGCCAAAGAAATGACTAAGGCATGATGTTTTTATAGCTTTTAGACAAAGAAAAATAAACTTGTGAAGAACTGACAGAAAAAAATGGATCTCTGGACTAAGGCATCAAAGTGTAGGACCAGTGCCAAAAGATATGGTGGGGGGTGTAAAAGCCAGTCAGAGATCAGGGTTACTTTAAAGAGTCTGTTTATTCAGTCTCATTGCAGCTCCAAATACCACTCTCTGGTGATTAATGTCCAGCCTTGGTATGGGAAGGACATCCCTCTCAAAAGAATCTTTATGGTTTGCTGCATGTAGGACAAGTCAGGCCAGCTGTCCCTTTCTGAAGTTTTAGTTCCTCAAGTGATTTCAACTTGAAATAACTGATCTCCAGAATCAATCCTAGTTCGATGTATTTTGAGATGGCACATTCTAAACTGCTTCATAGCTCACTAAAAGGTGTCTTGTCCTGCAGAAGAGTGAGATAAAGTTCCAGACCTCACAATGGTTTTGTAATCAGGAACCATTTTATCCAGATTAAGTCCTGTGCTTCGATGCACTTCCAGGTCTGTGGGAGGCCAGCAGGTGGGAGCCTGCACAGATGACACGAGGTGGTTCTTTATCAGAATGTTTTGCTAACCACTGCACCGTCGCCTTCCCTGTGGAATGCAGAGCTTTTTGGCTGCTTTTGCGGCTTATGCCTCATTTAGAACTCATCTTGACAATGGAAGCCTGCAAAACTGGCAGAATATGAGAGTCACTGTTACTTAAAATTTTCACAGTTAGCAGTAGTGAGTCATAATGGACTAGGAAAAAAAATAAAACCTTTGAAAGTATTAAAGTGAATTCCACCCCCATCCTCTTAAGCTGCTTTTCAAAATTAAAAATATATATATATTTCTCCACAAATGTGTGTTCAGATTTGTACAGCAAGGTCCAGCACTTGATTTTTTTCCTACATCATCGCTGCAGGAATCTTTTGAGCACCTCTTTTGTGGCTGGCATTGTGCCGGGGTCTGGGGTATCAAACCTGAATAAAATATCCTCTTTCCCCTTAACAGCTGGAGTGCCAGGAAGTCATGTGGACTCTGACAGAGGTAGACAGAGGGCCGGGAAGGGGCTCGAGGTGGAGGAGATTGGGAATAGAGGCATGGGGCATGGCATAGCCATGGGCATGCTCCTCCTAAACTGGCACACTTTGGGGACCCTGGGGATATGGCTCGGCCATGCATCTTTAATGAAATAGCAGAGGATATAGTATGTGGGTAGAGGATGCAGGACATCAAGTTTAGTTGAGTTAGGTATGTATTTTTTAACATGAAAAAACATGATTTTAAGATGAGATTCTGTAGTCAGTGATACACCGTCTGTTGCTATCAAGAAACAGTTAAATTATAAACACAGTGCTCTGTTCTGCAGAAAGTTTCCAGATCCAGCTTTTTATGGCAACCCCCAAACCATATGCTTCCAGGAAGTAAGCCTTGCAGTAGAAAATCAATCTAAGCAACAGTGGCTGTTTTAGATATGAAAAAATAAAAGATGTTTTGAAGCCTGTTTTTCTATTATATATCTGTCTAATTATCTACCCATCTTTCTATAAAAATAACCTAAGAACTCAGGCTCTGGAAGTTCAGAACAACTTTACAACCATTTATAATATACCATTATAACAGCGGTATCTATTATGTTTGCCCTCTGTCTCTGTCTCTCTCTCTGTCCCTGTCTCTGTCTCTTTCTCGGTCTCTCTCTCTCTCCCTCTCTCTCTCTCTCTCACACACACACACAGCAGGACAAAAACAACAAAAATAAAATTCTACCCTTTCAATATTTCTAAATAACAGTACAGTTGGTTATTGAAGTAATTACTGCCAAAACTCCCTAAATTTTAAGGGCTCCTTTTGTCACATTCTCCTTATGGATCGGCAGACATACTATTCAAGCTGCCAGGATGCAAATCAAATGAAAATAAATTAGATTCATTTAAGCTAAATAACTAAAAATAATTTCAGCAAACATTTTTTTCTGGAGTCTATATTCCTTTGTCCAGGCCTAATTCACTTTATTTGGCTAAAATTATAAGGAGAATTAGGCAGACAGAGAGCATAATTACTTGAGTTGGAGCTTAGCTTAGAGTTGTTGCCCTCACTTATTTTGCTTGCAAGAAGGTTTATTAAAGCCCTGATCATAAATCTTAACTAGAAAGTTTGAAAAAAAAAATCAATATTTAATTAATTTTAGGAGCAGGATTTTATGGAGGATTCCTAGTTATTTTCCAAAGTGAATGTCTGTGAATGAGATGGCTAATAAATGGTTAAAACTACACAGTTTTTTTTTGAGCTGAGGGAGGAAAGGGGAACATTATTAGCACAATTGCATAGAAGAGAACGTCTCTCTAATAGGAAGATGTCTGTGCAAGATAAAATCTTGGAATATGAAGAAATGTTTAATTAGACAAAGCATTATCTTTAACAGAATAAAGGCCTAGCTACTGCTGTCAAAGGAAGAGAAAATAGATCTCAAATCCTGACTCATGGCCCTTCATACCTGACTTTTGGAGGCTTCTGGCTAATGTTCTGACCACTCTGGCCCTTCATTAGGGATGAGGTCAGAGGGGCTGCTGCTTTCAGTTGAAAGCTCTGACTCAAGTATATTCTTTTCCCTCAGTTCATGAAGGCACAAGTGAGACCAGTTTGGAACATTTCCCTGGGCTTTACGAAGGCCAAGTCCTCCAGCAGACTTTCAGAACCATCTGTGTAATACCTACTCATGGGAGCTTCTCAGAACGCATGCTCCCAGGTGTTAGTCTGAAAGATTCTGATTTTGTAGATATGGAGAGGAACCCAGGAACTTGCATTAAGTACTTCCCAAGTGATTCTGATGCATCTGAGATCGTAGCTTCAACACTGTGAAAGAGGCTAGAGTTAGATTTTAGTGGTAGCAGAAGGAAAACACGAGGAAAGCACCTGCGGACATACATGCCCTGTCTCACATTGGTACATTCTTGGTGGAGAAGTGCTCACCAAGAGCAATAGCAGTGACAATCAACACATAGCTTTTTAATAAGAACATTCCAGAGAGCTTTCCTGGAGCAAATAGAGGCCCAGAAATGCCATGGGGCCCACAGGACTGCCCTGGACCAGCCAGCTCCTTACTAGAAGCAGGGCACTGAGAACCATGCTAATAAATGTATCCATCTGTCCACTGCTAGATTATAGAAAGCCCATCCTAGACCTCACTGAGGTCTGAGAAATTTATATTTGTAATTCCAGGGGAAGTTATTAGAATTCCAATAAGTCAATTCCAATCTTCCATTTCCAGTGCAATGCATGGTGAGAATCAAGACATTAAGGCATATTTACAGTTGTGGGGAGCCAAGGGGGTCCTAAGTCCAGTCATAATAATGGCTAACCTCAACAAAGTTCTACCCAGGGTTGAACCTGGGTTTAATTAATTTGTGAGGAGGGGAGTGGCTTGGGGATGAGTGACTGTGAGAGTGTCAGGAAGTAGGTGAGTGCTGTGAGCTGGGCTAGGTAGGAGGCCTGAAATCACCTCTGCCATATGCAGAGAGAGAGGTGCAGAAAGAGTAATCTGCGTATCGCAGATTAGGGTAGTATCTAGTGTTTTGGGATCAGTGCTTGAGTTTTGATGTATAATTTTCATGCCCTGAGAAGTCATAACCTCTTCTCTCAAAGCTCATTCTCAGCCAACAGCATGGCTTGGCCTCGCACACACATACTACTTGGGAGCTACAGGTGGGGGCATCACTGACCTGTTGTGTTGTTTTAAAGACTGTACATCAGCCCCCGGGTTAGACCCATTTGCATTGCTTAAAGCCAATTGAGGGAATAAAGACAAAACTTAGCCAGCTCTGCAGATATCAGTACATGGAAATAGGGCCAGATTTAGCCCAAATGGAGACAACTGCTCTTCTTTCCAGGAGAATTATCCTGGTGGTCCTCCACAGTAGATCAGGGCTGAATGAACACAACCGTGCTCTGACTAATTCCAGTGGCAACTTTCCTTCCCTCAGATGGATGTGTGGGAAAGATGTAGATGGGCAGAGCATAGCTTCTTTTTCTTAATCAGGGAATAATAGAAGGCAAATTACATAGATCAACATATTGATGCACCCGGTTAATAAATGTATTTGCTAGTAGTTGCTTGAGAGAAAATTCCATTCCATTTTCTATTATTATTTTTCTCCTTCAACAGTGGTTGGAGATAGAGAGGTAGAAAGATATTGGGTTGAAGGAAAAGACTATCTAGCCTTTTCTGTGTTTCAGCTTTCCTCTAAAATGTCCTGGTCCTAGCAGAGGACTCTCACCATGCCTGGTGACTGTCAGGACTGCCTTGCCAGACCAGCCCTAGGGTATAGCAATAGTAATGCAGGTGCTGTAGTAGTTGAGTAGCACCATGTGATATGCACATCTTAGAATAAAACTTTGGAAAATCAAGTAAATGGATGGATTAGGCAGTTCGAGAATGTCTTGTCATGAAGAAAATTCTTGCTATTACTTTTTCTAATGAGTTGAAGCAGCAAACATCTTTTTCATCTGGAGTAGTCCAGAGTCTATGATGTGACAACTAGAGCTGCATGTCATGGGGCATCATGGTGACTGTGAGAGTTTGGAGGAGTAAGAGGAATACTGGTGTTCAGCAAGGTGAATATCTTAGATGCAGACTTACTTGCGTCCACTGTAACAGCCTCAGCCAAGCAAACTGCACAGGTCTCATGCACAAATCAGAATCCTTTATAAAGTATGTTTATTTAATGTGCACTTGGAGCTACAGATTTACTCCTGCTTGCCTTAGGTTTACATTCCCTTTGGTTTTCTTACCTAATTTTGATGGATGAGCTAAGCAAAGTGCCTTGCCTAGCTTCCAGGAGCCTCCTGTCTGGAATTCTTGCCCTTCTCTCCCAGGAGGAAGCTCATTAAAGTATTTTTCTTAAGAAAAATACTATCTTATCAGCAGGGACTGCCTTGTAATTTCCCTTCACCCATGCTCAGCTGTCTACCTTGGGTAACACATGCCATCTTTGTGGCTTTAGTAGCCCACCTTAACTACCTAAAATAAGGGAGAGATAACCTTGTGAGCATCCTTCTGAGATCTGTGCCTGAAGCTGTAACAACATCTTACAGTGGGGGTGCTCTACTGTCCTCTGTGTGTGCGGTGCCCCCTTGGTCTGAAGCTCTCTGTCAATGTCTGTTCCTCCTCCCAGACTAACACTCCTCTGCAAAGCCTCTTCCCTCTCATCTCTGCTCCTCATGTGCTGTCTGAGCAAATGGTTATAGCAGCTCATCACTTCCCTTTGAACCTGCATTGAGTCTCCGTGAAGTTACTTCTTATCTGGTATGTAATTGAAATTCCTCCAAACATTTTACAGGAGTCTTGAGGTTCCCTGGGGAGGGGAGTAGTTAGCAGTGGAGGACAGAACTCCCTATTAAGGCTTTCAGGGACCAGAGAAGCAGTAAGTCTCTACCTGCCATTTATCATCCACCATTTTAAATTATTCATATTGATTTCCAATTCCTACAGATTGTGTGCGATCACATGAGTGCAGACAGCCTGGCTACTGACTCCAGCCCTGCAAACAAACCCTGGTTGGTGTGTCTTGACGACAGGTTTGGCTTGGCTCATCAAATCCGCAGCAAGCAGTGTCGCCTCTACTCCTTAGGGTATGTACAAACCTCAAGCACTCCTGCCGGCAGCCATGGTGTCCCCAAAGTCATGACTGGTTGCAGTGTACATAGGTGCTCTGCCTTGCCTCGGGCTGGGTTTCAGATTGATCTGCTGTGCAGCTGCAGGCCAGGCAGATCACTAAGGTCACGCTGACCAGAGCCGCTTTTCCTTTATTCTGCCGCTAATAAGTTGGTGTTGCAAGCCCACTTCTCAGCATGACAGAGATCTAGGTGAAACCAGTGATTTTCAGTTAGAATCAGTGCACCCTTATTATAAAGAGAGTACTTTAATGAGTACAGGTAGAAAAAGGGAGTGTGTTAGATACTTTATACAAGTGATGAGTGACCTAAGACAGTGCCCACTGTTGGGTTTTTATGTTTCATACCAATGATAAAGCTACAGATGGTTTTGTATTTTAAAAAGAAAATAAAAGCCATTCTTAGGATAACCATGTAATTTTTTTCAAAACTGAGAAAAATTGATATGCATTTACTAAAATGACCTACATACATAAATGGATTTAGAAAATTTTTTGTAAATGATGGATATTATTTCACCAAGTAACTCAGTCTTTTTATAAACAGTCCTGAACTTACAAATGATATATGTCTTAAGAAAAGGCAGGGTGGAATTATGTCTGCTTGGGACACCCTGTTCCATCAACTCTCTGTAGGAGTTAGGTAGATTCTTGGGCTGAAGTCCTTTTCCAACAGTAGTGGGGACTCTAAAAGATGTCACATACTTGTTCCTCATCTGTAGGTTTCATTGTCTAGCTCTGCAGTTTACCTTCTAACAGCTGCCAGCCAGAATCCTAGTATCGGGATTAGGGCAGACAGCTAGGGATGCCCAAAGGCAGGGACAGCATCCCCAAAGGTGGGGATGCAGAGAGATCACAATTGCTATCAAGCTATAACAAGCAAGAATTTCCAATCCTTATGGGATTAAGAAACATAAGATTTAAGTGAGAGTTTAAGGATGATGGAAACATCCTTTTATGGGTTAAATGAAGGTGTCCATACTGATGATGCCTATCTGTGGCTTGGCATACAGTAGGCACTCAGTTCCTACCTACTGTGGAAGGGGTTGTTTGAGGGGAGGGAACCGATACCAGAGTTCTTTAAATGTGGAAGTGTGGGTTGGATGATGAGCTGCTTAGCTAATTGGTTAGGATTTTGCTCTTCTACTAGGAGTCTGCCAACCAAATCTCAAGACTGTAGGAAGAATGGGGAGTTGTGACAGCAGTTTATTTTTTGTCATATTTTAAAAGTATGAAAGTAGGTCAGAAAATAATTGCATAGTATCACATGCAAGTTGGAGATCTCAGTTTGGTCCTTTTTCTTTCTCCGAATTGCTTTGTGTTTTACCTAACATTTTAGACCCTAGAGTTTCATTTAAAACATACAACTGAATAAAATAAAACTTGGAGAGTTGTTTTGGGGAAAATTTGTTTTTAATTCTTTTTTTTTCCTTCCTTATACTTCAGAGTTGTTAGATAAAATGGCTCTATAGTAGGATTTTAGATTATTACTTAAAAAAGGTAATTTCTTACTTTCTTTTAAATGTTTACCATTGAGAAATCAGCTTTGTAAAGAACAGATGAGAACATTTGAATTCCACTGAGAAAAGAATCAAATAGATTATAAGGGTTAATGTCTGATGGAAAACATAAAAGCACCTAATTGAAAACTGGAAACTCAAGAAAATATTTCTGGTGGTTATAAAAGGAAGCTTTGTGGGCGATGATGTTGATTGCTGTGTGACTTAAATCAAGATCCAGACAAGCTTCCCTGCTCGGGGAAAATGCACGCTGGAGAGACAGAGAGCTCAGCTGATGCCGGCAGACTCAGTCCAGCAGTACTGGTCCTGAAATGAAGAGCCGCACGGAGAACGCACCCTGGCCTCCCTGCAAGTGTTGGGGTGCATAGATGAGGCCAGGTGGTGAGTCATGTGGGTGTCACTTACTGGCAGTCTGTGCCCCACACCCCAGGGCTTTGGCAGCCACAAGACCATACTGCTGCGATACCCAGAATTCCCAGCCAAACCAAAGATGCAGCCACAGTAGGGCGATAACCTTCCCAGAATGAGGACAAGGAGTCTGCAGACAAGGGCCAATGGCCCTCCATCTGATCTGACCTACCCCCTTTCCTCTACTCCAAGAGCTGGTATCACTTCTGCCATCTCTCTGATGCCTGAAGTTTTCTTACTGGGAGTCAAAGCTTTTTATATTACAGTCCATGTAAAACATGTTTGTCTGAGGCAATGCACTCCATGATGTTCTGAAGCAAATTAAAATCCAATCCTTTGCAATTTTGAAATGGGGTGGGATGGAGCAGTGAAGATAGGGAAAGACAGTGAGAAGAAAAGTAACTATCACAGAGAAGTAGAAAGAGGAGAGAGAGACAAGTTTAGAGGTTCATATCTTGTACCTACAAGTTCAGTCAGGGTCTTCCCTGCCAGTCTTCCTGTATAGATAGTGGAGGGGAGGCATCTGGGCAGTGGTGGCAGAGGCAGGTGTGAAGGATTGATAAATTGAAATGGGGAATAGCACCTATTTTTCTTTTCATGTCAAAGATTATGTTTTAGGGGTAGAAGTGGGTGAGGAAGAGAAGACTTGAGAAGAGATAGCACAAAGGTAAGCATCCCTCTCTTTAGCTCTATGGGAAGGCATAGTTTTTGGAGTCAAAACTTCAATTCTTAGTGTAAGAGGCAAGCTTTCACCAGTGACACAGTGTTAGGCAACAAGAGCCAATATTTTACACAGAAAACCTGGAACATCCAGGGAGCTTTTCAAGAAAGAATAAGCTTTAGAGCCAAATGTTTTTGTTTTAGTTAAGACAGAATAAATAAGGTTAGTGTAGTATATGCTAATGCATTAACATTATCCCTTAGTTATTGTGGACTGATCAGGCCTACAGTCTCCCAAACAAGTAGACAGTGAAGGCTTAAATAAAAGAGACAAGTGGTAGATTTTAGGGCTCCAGGAGGTTCAAAACCCTCTAACAGAATTCAAGATTCTCTGGTGGCTAAGACCAAGAACTTCTCTAGGTAGCCCATATTTATTTAGTTATCACACAAAGCAGGGGAATACTAAAGAAAATGCAGAAATCTGGGCAGGACCCTGAGAGTCCCTGCAAGGACTTCTCCAAGTTATAGATTATGTTAATTCAGGAGAACTATGTTATCTTGTGGAAGACCTTCATCATAGGAGTGAGATGCCTGTAGCTGCAGTCTTTACTAGTTAATTGAGGTTGGAGCCAGGTGTCTTTAGCTGTGGCCTTGTCTTGTCCTTTGAGTCAGGACCAGTGATTCATAGAAGTTTACTTACTATGAGTCTGCTGCCCATCTCCAAACAAGGAGCCTAGGCCTTGGACAGACTCACAAGTAAACATGAAAACCAATAGATTAATTTAAATCCTGCTCAGAACCACTTCATAGTGGTCTCCATCATATGCTATATATACCAGATTACATGGGAGAATCAGAATTGTAGAACTAAAGTTCCTTTTTAGATATTTGTTCCTAATCATCTCTCCACAAACTTTTAATATCATGGATGTAATACACATCTCTTTATGTAATACATAATATCAGTGCTTTATATGTAAAGAAAGGAATCTTTTTTGCCCCCTTGATAAAATCCATTTCACTCTTTTGGGAGTGCTATTGTTCCTGTTGAGGACATATCTTTTAGATGAAATCTTGGGATTTCATGCAATGTTATTAAACAAAAATCAATAATCATAAAGTATTTTATATCCACCATTAAATGTCACTTCTGCTTTGTAAATCCTATTTCTCCCCCTCTGGCAGCTGGCAGTTTATACATCTATATATTCATTTGGCCAGATTCTCTGGTTCCTACTGTAATGAAGGATAAAGTGCTGAAACTCCAAAGGAAAATATTAACTGTCTTCCCTTTTCCAACCTCTTTCTTTTCAATGATGAGGGTTAAAAATTTCCTTATATCTGCTTTTGGCTTATTTTATATTTTTTAGGTTTGCAAACAGCTTTATGGAGATATATTCATATACTTAAATTATTGAACTCAAAAGATTTCTAGTTACTGTGATTAATTCAGGAAAATTTTCATCATCCCCCAGAAGAAGCCCTGTACCTGAGAGCTAGCTACTCCCAGTTTTCCTCCAACTTTCAGCTCCCTAACACTGAGCTCTCCAGCCTTAAGCACCCACCGCTCTATTTTCTGTCTATTTTGAATCACACATTTTAGACATTTTATATAAATAGAATCATATAATATGTGGTCTTTTGTGACAGTTTTCTTTGTATGAATATACTAAATTCTATTTACCTACTCATCAGTCTGGATTGTTTCCATTTTCACTATTATGAGTGTTGAGATAACCAGTCATGTACAAGTTCATCAGTGAACCTGTTTCATTTAGTTTGGCTGCGGACCATTTTACCTTCCCAACCATCATCTATGAGGCTGGCAGTAACAATAACAGTAACAATTTCTTCATATTTTTACGAAAGCTTATTATTTGACTTTTCAGTTGTGGCCATCCTAGTGAATGTAAAGAGCTACTCCACTGTGGTTTTGATTCGTGTTTCCCTACTGACAAATGGTCTCGAGCATCTTCCATGAACTTAGGCTCTGAATTATGACTCTACCTAGGGAACATAAAAGCTGCTCACCTTAATACTCTCAAGGATGCTTTTAAAAAAGTGACCAAAGACCTGACAGTCTCACAATCCATCCCTTTTACCCTTCAGTAGCATGAGAGACATGTGATTGATTTCCAGCACTACCCACAGCTAGGGAAAAACACTTTGCATAATTTGCAAAAGAAGCTGGCCTCCCTCAAGAACCCCAATTGCAGACTGCTAGAAGATGACCATTATGGTCATTATGAGGTGAACGGCATCTCCTGGAGTTGTTTAGTGTGCGGTCCACACAACTGCATCAGGGCTCCTGGTTGTTTTTCTCTAAGCCACCAGAGAAGGAGAGCCAAAGTGGCCACTCTTACTCTGTTGCCTTTGGAAATTTAGCCCTGTAAAATACCCCCTTTCTATTTCTTCAGTAGCTCTTAGATCTGATGATCCTTCTATGCTGAAAAGTCACTGTGACCTCAAACCCCAGCATCGATGTATGGAGAATAAAATTTCAAGCACAGGTTACACAATTCTATCTCCGCCATAGGGAGGCAGAGGTTGCAGTCTCAATTCAAAAGCTTATATTTTTGAATATAGATCTTAACTGCTCAGCTGTTTCAGAAGTGGGTTGTAGTACAAACTGGTAATTGTCCCTTAATATCCATTCTCCTATTCTTCCTGCAGTAAGAGAATTCCTGAGGTTACCAGGGCACATTGCCACCCTACTGGTAGGTGTATTTTCTGTCATTCCTTGTAGCAGTGGTCACATGTAAGTGGAAGTGATGCATACAGCTTTCAGGCTGTGGGCCCGGAGGAAAAGATGTGACCACTGCTTCCCCTACCACCCTCTCCTGATGATTGGAATAGGTAGGAGGGCAGACAATGAAACAGTCATCTTAGACCTTGGTATGGAAGCCGTATGCTTTACTCTTCTTGCTTCATGGAATGAACATCAAACAAAATACTGTTAGCCAGTAAAATTTTCTACAGTGAATTTTCTAGCTAATTAACAACATAAAGTGGTTTCTTTATGAATTGAGTACATCCTTGCTATAAGTAATAGTTGTCAGTATAGTTATTTGTTAAAAGCTCTTCATTACCGCTTTGTGAGCTTCTTCCAGATCAAGGACCATGTTTAATTTATACATTGTTCCCTGTGTCCTGTATGGTTCCCTACACATATAAAGTATTCTACAAATATGTGTTAAGATACATGAATAAGTCAGTAAAATGAAGTCTGTCACATGATGTTTGGAGACTGTACAGTATATTGTGGGATTGTCAGATCTTATCTACAATTTTCTTTCACTTAGGGCAGGATTTGTTAGGTCTGGGTGTCATTATTTCTTTCCCCAGCACTGAGGATTCGGAAATGAGCAAGGCTGACACAGAACTTTCCTTCATGGAGCTTTGCTGTCTAGTGACTGACAATTTCCTAGACCACTGAGATCATCAATATTCCTCCCTCCTTCTGTGTCCTGTGTTCATGTACTGTAAGGTGAAATGTAGCAAGAGCATACTTTGGAAGCTCCAGAAAAGAACCTGACTCCTGGTTTTAATACTTTTGGCTGTGTTTTGCAACACCTTTGTATTTTCCATTTGTTCTTCTTACTTTTTATACCTACTCCAGTCTTGACTAATTTAAACTAAGCCTGAAGGAGGACCATTTCACGTAAGTCAAAGTAAGAATTAAGAACATTAATTAAATTAATACAATGTATGTCTTTCCAGTACAGTATATACTTATATATTAAGATGAAATGAATTGAGCAAAAGTAACGTAGGTTAATGTAAAAATTACAAACTGCAAATAGCTCTGTGTTGTTAGTTTATATATATTATATATAATAATCCCCACTAGCGATTAACTTATATGTGTATGTGTGTACTTATGGTAATTTTAAATAGAAAGCACTTGTGTATGTCTGAAAAATGTCTGAAAAAAGCACACAAAAAAGTGCCAATCATGTTTATCCTGGAAATTAGAGCTAAATTTCTAGTGGTAGAAAACTTCTACTTTTCATTTTATATACTTCTTACAATTAGAATTTTTGTATATTTGTAATTTTTTAATTCTAAAAAGATAGTTTAAATTGGAATCAGTATATAATAAAGTACCTTGCCAAAACAATTAGTTACAAAATGTTATGTAGCTCATTTAATTCTTATGATTTTTAAAGATCTTGATTAAATAGAGGTATGTGCTTTCAAGTAGGAAAATCTTTTAAAAAAATTCTGAAAATTCTCTGAGGAAGAAAGTATGTGCATTTTCACTCTAGGAAGCTCTTACACAAATTGTACTTAATGAGTACTTTTTGACTTAATGTTGTCTCAGCATAGTTACAGAATTACCCTTTCCTATTATTGCATGACCTGTGTTAACATTACTTTGCTCTAACTTTCAGCGAAGTTAACAAAATGAAAAAGCCTTTGCCATAGATGAGTTATGATATTCTATCTTTAGAGAAATAAGTCTGTCTATTAAAAATTCTTGTAGTTTTGGCTGCAAGTCAGATTTGTATTGAATACCAGATATATCAGATAGCTATTTTTTGTAACAGATCACTCTACATGACTCAGTGGCTTAAAACCCTAGTATTTATTATTGCTTGTGTGTCTGCAGGCCAGCTTGGTTTCAGCTGACCAAAGATGGCCTCCGCTAGGATACTCTATTTCAAAATAAGGTGGCCAAGGCATTCTGTTTTCTATAGAAGACTGGTTGACTAACTGGGATTGCCTCCTGCTCCTCATAGCTCTTATTTTCTTGACACCAACAAACTGTCCTGGGCACATTTTTGTCTTTATTCTATTACCAGAGAGTAAAGCACTCAAGGCCTGGGGTAAGGACTGGCACCCCATGACGTCTTTTATAAGTCACGTGACCAAGTCAAAAAAATCAAGGGGCAGAAGGACATCCCCTCACTAACAGCATAGTGGATGAAAGAAACATGAAGAGTTAGGGCCAATGAGTCAATCTGCCTCATCAGGTTAGATCATGGAAAAATTGGGAGGAAAGCTGGGTAGAGATTATGATGGTCTGAGCTGTGCACACTCAACAGGAAATTAGAAAATAGAGAGTGGGACCTGTTGTGAGGAAGAAGTGAGAGTACTTGAGAGGAGTATTAGATCATTTTCTAGCCGAAGAGGATAGAAAGAGCTATAGTTGAGGGAAGGGACATCAGAAGGTTGACTGGCATGTCATGGAGTCCAGTGAGTAGGGTGAAGGGACAGAAGGAGGCAAATATGAGTCTTAAGGAGGTCTGGTAAAGGACCTCTATACTGCAGACTTATTTCAGTGGACTCAGACCTGGTAAATAATTGTTATCTACTGAACTTGCATGTTTCTATATTATACAGTGGTCTGAAATAGTACTTTAAGATAATAAAGCATCTTTGTCTGGGTTCAAGTTTGGCCAATGTATTATAGATATTCTGAGGGATTTAGTATACTAAAGCACATATAATTATAGAGGGTTTGTTTGGTCAATTTTGTGCTTTTTCATTCAAATTGGTGTGTTAGTTGAAGCAATGATTCTTTACCATCAAATAAATATTTCTGAGTAAATTCAATATTTATAAGTATATTAATCATCCTCATGATTTTCCTACCTCCTGTGGTCTTATGCATCATTAATTCATAATTTCTTTCCTTTGGTGATGTGAATTTAGATAAGGGGCCTCCTTTGCTTCTTCCATTCTGGGTCCAGTAGAACCTTGTATATTTGCCTTTTTTTCTTTTCTTTAGCTGTGCTATTTTAAAATATGCTCATTTTCTAAGAAAACAGCTGTTGCCTTTAAGGCAAATGCTTGCACAGCACTGTGGACATTAAAATGGAGACAAATTACCTCATTAGTAGATATACCTCTCCTCAAGGGAATGAATCTAGAGATTATACTTTTAGCAAATTTTGAGAAAGTTTTTTAACACCAGAAGATATCCTGATTTACCTCATTGCTACTGTGATTTATATCTTCTTAAAAAATCTTTTTGATATACTTCTACATGGTTGAGCATGTGCTATTCTGGTCTGTGCTTAGCCAATAATTTCTTTTTATTTTATTCAAAGGGTTTGAGTTATAATGCTTTTATTTTGGGAGGGGGAAAGAAAGCTTATTGAATGTGTGCATTACATGTGTATTAAAATAGGGGAAGTCTCAGGATAAGAAAATTGGCCTTGGAACTGTCATGTTGTTGATCCAGCACTTTGCTGCGTTACGTTTTTGTTGTTGATTTCCGTCCTTCTTCTCTCCAGGCTGGGAAGTGATGATACCCATTTTGAGGTGAGCATGGCCAACGATGGATGTGAAGTGCACCGTTTTGACCCTAGTGTAAAATCGGCTCACGTTCTGGAGAGTCAGCGCCTGTGGTATCACCGCCTATCCATCGACTGGCGGGATCCTCACCCTGCACTTGCTGCCCAAAAGCCATACAGCAACACCAGGAAACTGGGAAGTATTTTGAATGAATTTGGGCATCACAAGGTGAGATTTTCATTTGATCTTATAATTAAATAAAGTGAACAAACACATAAAGGTTTGTAAAAATGCCAACCAAGGATAACAGCATTGACCCTGGAAAGTTGAAGGTCCAATTTTAATCTTACCCATCATCCAGAATTACATGTAGAGCCAACTCTGTAAACATAATGTTTTTGCAAGGATAGAGATGTTTAAATGGATTTAAAGACTTTAGGTGCTGTTGAATATTTTAAGATCTCGACCAGGACTAGGCAAGAAGACCAAGAAACCTACTTCTATTCTATTCTACTGAAGAGTACTGTTTCTGTTTAAGAATTGATTTAAAAATTCCAGAAAGAGCAGACTACTTATGTCAGCCTCAAATACAAAAAAGAATCAGCCAGGATTGTGTTTGCTAAGAGATTACATGTATGTAATATTTCTCATTGTTATAACATGTTTCTCACTATTTTGAGCCTCTAGTCTAGGCTCTTAAAGTTCAGGAAATGTGTGTAGCTTTGATTAAAATTGACTTTGTAAAGTGGAATGGACATTATGTATGTTGCAATTAACACAACTATGTCAAATCTCTGTAAATAGTTTATATTGTGAATGGACAAAAAAGAGAAGAAATTCAATTTTTTTTTTTTTTTTGTCCTTTTGAGATAGGGTCAGTTCAGGCTGGCCTTGAGCTCACTTTATAGCTCAAGCTGGTCTTGAACTTGCAATAATCCTCCTGCCTCAGCCTCCTGAGTGCTGGGATTATAGGCGTGAACCACCACACCTAGCTGAACTATGTTTCTTGAAAGCAAATTTTACCATAATATCTATCCCTGAGCTAACTGCTTTCTGTAGACTGATGCTAGAGAAGTCCTGAGTGCAGCTGGTTTGTGTTTGATTGCCAAGCCTTCATGGGTTTGGCAGTCTTGGCCTATCCTTCCTGGACAGAGATGCCAGGTCACTTAGAGCCTGTCAGAATGGGTGTCTCTCTGTGAAACAGGACATCTGGGACTCAACTTTCAACTTGAGTTGGCCTCGTGGTCTTTCCTTCTGTATGATTCTTTCTTCTCCTTTCCTCTTTACAGCTTCCTTTAATTAGCCAGCTGATGCTTCTTAAAGAAGAACTTCAAAGAATTTACTGTTCTTTTAACATGGGACTAGCTGTTGATTTGTATTTTGCTTTACCATCCAGAGTAACTAGCACTTAGTAGTCAGGTACTTTAATAAAATTTACATAACATTTCTTCGGGTAAAAATCTCTAAACAGAATACTTTTTTATATGCTATTAATTTTTGAATAAGCGTAGAAAGAAGCAGAAGCATTTTTCAGAAATAAATGTTTTATTGTCACTTGTTGCCTTTATAGACTTTTCTTTTTGCAGCGAGAATGATCAGCCTGATTCTCTAATATGTCAATTTTAGGAGCTGATCCTTATTCTTTGTGTCCAGCAGGGAGTCTCGCTGTTCCTCCTGCATGCCCCTCACTTCCTGGCCTTCTCCACTCTTACTCTTCCAGGAGAAGGCCAAGCAGGGAAAAGAGACTAAATCAAGGCCATTTTGTGTTTGTCAATAATGTTTTGGGAAAAGATGTGCTAAAGGTGAGGATAAAATAAGCCCTTCAAAAAGCAATCTGTGGCTAGATTTATCTAAGCACATTTCCAACAGAGCATGTGTTTGGGGATAATAAGGTGCATACTTGCTTTGTATTTATTTAGCAACCTGGGAGCTGCAGGAGGCAAACCTCTATGCTGAGGATAAAGCATGAAGCTTTTTGCAACAGTGCCCCTGCCATGGCAGAAATGTTTACAGTGACAGCTAAAAAGGAGAAATACTTTAAAGGTTACTCATATTCCTAGGCCCTTTATTTTCATTAAAAACCTTAATAACAATGAAAGTGATCTGGCTTAGAATTGCTGGGTATGTATTTCCCACTTTAAATAAACTCCTTGTTGAAGAATTTAAGAGGTGCTGGTTTTCTTTCATAGAGTTTTCTGGGTAAATGCTTTAAAACAAAACCAACAAAAGCTAAACCCATCTGTGAGTAATGGAACAACAAGGAACTTGCTTCTAGGACTGCACGATGCCAGATAAAGAGAAACCTTGTTCGTGGCCTGTAGCAGGCACGGTCTGTTTTCATTTTCCTGCATGTGTGCAAAGAGCGAGGCAAATGAAACAAAACACAAAAATGTCAGTCCTTCTGTCTTGCCTTCTTTACTACTGATTCTGAAAGTGACAATAGAAACCAAAGCGATATAAGGTCTTCTTCTCCATTACTGTAAAATATCTTATATAGTTTTGCCATAATTTCCATGTCCTGCTGTTATTTTCCTTCTTCCCGCTGTGGAAACCTAGATCCCAGTCATTCCAGTGAAAAAGTGTGGGCAAAAATGAAGACAGTATTCTGAGACAGTGACAGAAAGATGCATATGGCTTTTGTACTGCTTTTAAAACTTAGCTAATTTTAACTTCAGACTATAAATTAGAAAAACCTTTCTCCAGCATCAGGCAGGAGCAGCTGCATCAGCAAAACCATGCGAACAAGCAGCCCGGTCTGTCAAGGAATAATATCCCCTAGATCCAGCATTACCAGCGATGATTAACTGTCTACTCCTTGCTGAAGTATTTGCTGCTGCCATTAACTAAGATACAAATTTTTCCAGAACACATAGAAGGATTGAATCTGAATTTTCTGTTTGTATTAATCATAATGTATACCCTACAGTGTTTATTGTATACTGAGAGTCTTCTATGAGTAAATGGTTCAGGCTGGTTAGTGAGAAATTATAACTGCCACTATTATTTTCAGTCTTATCCACACTGATGATAATATGAGAGTTTACTTTTGTGAACTCATCAATCTAGATTTTAAGCATGAGTCTGCTTATTAGCATTTGGCACTGGGCAAGTCGTTTAACCTTGCTGGCATCAATTTGGTAGTAAAATCAAGACAACAGTGCTGTCCAAACTGTAACTTGGTTTGAGAATTAGATCTGAGCACACAGCACAAATGATGAATTCAGGAATTCATCATTCAACTGTTTTTAGTAAATTCAAAGAATTCTTATCAACAATTTCAGTAACCTTTTACTAAATTTTATAGAAAATGTTTTTTTTCTTCTTTCTCTTTTTTAGGGAGAATATATCAGAGCTTTCTCTGGAAATTTCTAAGTGCACCTGCTATGGTTTCAATCTATATATCCTCCCCAAAGCTGCCTGTGCTCACAGGGTGGGGCTTGGGAAGGTGATTGGGATATAGGAGAAAACTCCCAACCTACTAGATGTCCGGTACGAGTTCATGTTCTCTAAAATCAGAGAATGAATTTCAGGAACAACGGCGGTTATATTTATGGAAAGACAGCTTCTGTCTGAGAGAGAGACAGAAGGGTCCCAAGTAGGTTGCTGAGGACCCTGCCTTTTCTAGGGATTTTTAAAGAGCCAACAGATGGGGGGGTGGTCTAAGGTGGGAAAAGTGGGAAATCGAAAGGTGGGCGTGAGGTGGGACAAAGCTGTCACCAACCAATAAGATTACGCATATAAATTGCTCAGGTAAAATTGATTAAATTGGGATTAAATGGGGAAGCAAGTCATGTAGCAAGTGGGCATGAATACAGAGCAGGGACTTTTCCTGTAGGGCGTTGGGTTAGTGGCTCTTCCTGGCTTTCTCAAGGTGATTGACACCTATTTAGAATATCAGTCCCTGATGTTTATTCTTAGGAAGTATATGGGTGCATTTGCTTTATCTTTTGTATTAAGGTCTGGCTCAGAGTGGAGGTTTCTATCTCTCCCACAGTTGTGAGGTATCTCTTCTTTTACATGGGCTCCTTGGAGGGCCCAGCCCTACGTGACTGCCTATCACATTTTTGTCTCACTTCATTGCCTACAACAACTGGATCATGGGGATGTGATACTCATCGGTGATTATTTCACGGATGAATTTATAGAGAAAGATGAATTTGGGAGGTGAAGCCTGATCAGAGAAGGTGGGTCAGTGGAGGCATGTCTTGGAAAGGTCTAGCCTTGACTGATCATGGGCTACTTTCTTCCACCATGCCATTGACGTTTCTCATCTGCCGCACCTCTCTGCCATTTCACCCTGCCCTGGTTTTAGACTATGAGCTGAAACCTCTATAAACTGAGCTAAAATACACCTTTCCTCCTTAGAATTGTGGGTGACGAGAAACCAAGGGAGTACTAATTCCCGTCAAGAGTTTCTAATGAAAGCTTTGCGTTAAAATGAAGGGCAATTGGTCCTTCAGAAGTGGTTGTAAGAGAATTATTATTGTTTGCTGCCTCAGGGCACTGAACAGCTTTGCGATGATTGTGTAGAAAACAAATACTGAGCTGTATAGAAATCAAATAGACTGCTCGAAATGAACTGGGATATGTTCCATGCAAACAGATGTCAGCCTGCGAGGCTGGGCTCAGTGGTCAGATGTCCCAGGGAAGGGAGCCATTTTCCCTATTTTGGTTCTTCCTACCCATGAGCAAGGGATATCTTTTCATTTTCTGCTATCTTCTTCAATCTCCTTTATCAGAGTACTATAATTTTCAGTGTATAGAGTTTTTACTTCCTTGTTAGATTGATTCCTAAGTATTTCATATTTTTTTGGTGCTATTATGAAGAGTGTGGTTTCCCTAATTTCTCTTTCATTGAGTTTGTTGTTTGTGTACAGGAATGCTATTGATTTTTGAGTGTTGATTTTGTATTCAGCTACACTACTGAATTTAGTTATTAAATCTACAAGTCTTTTGGTGGAGTTTTTGGGGTCTTCTATGTAGAGTATCATGTCATCTGTAAATAATGATATTTAACTTCTTCTTTTCCTGTCCTTATTCCTTTTATTTCTTTTTTTAATGTAATTGCTCTGGCTAATGTTTCCAGGACTATATTCAATAGGAGTGGTGATAGTGGACATCCTCATATTGTTCTTGATTTTAGAGTGAAAGCTTTCAGTTTTTGACCGTTTAGTACGATGTTGGCTGTTGGTTTGTCATAGGTGGCTTTTATCAGATTGAGATAAAGA